ACGTGCCTGGCGCTGGCCGCGGGGCTGAGACAGAGCAGGGGGGCTATGCAGGGGGGCGGGGCAGACACCCTGCCCCCCCCCCCGCCGACTCCCCCCCCGCACTCTGCCCCGGGGGCGGGGAAAGCAGGTGCCGGGCTGGGGGGGCTCAGGGCTGCCCTGGACGTGCCCGTCCCGGGAGGTGGGAGCATGGTCAGGCGCTGCCCTAATTCCACTCCCAGGGCTCAGCGGAGCCGGGACGTCTGGGGATTTACGGCTCAGCTCCAGGGGCCCTTTGCCGCGTGGAGAGGGAGCGGGCGCAGCTGGGCCGAGCTCTGCCCACCAGGACGTCCCCCACACTCGCTGCACAGCCCAGAGCACACGGGCGCTCCCGCCACGCCATGTCATCCGGCCCCCACCGGGCCCCCGCCTCCATCCGGCCCCCACCGGGCCCCCGTCCTCAGGCCCCCCACTCCCTCCGGCCCCCACCGGGCCCCCGCCTCAGGGCCCCCGCATCCATCTGGCCCCCACCGGGCCCCCGTCTCAGGGCCCCCCGCCTCCATCCGGCCCCCACTGGGCCCCCCGTCCTCAGGGATCCCGCGTCCATCCGGCCCCCACCTGGCCCCCGTCCTCAGGGCCCCCCGCCTCCATCCAGTCCCCACCAGGCACATGGGTGCACACACCTGGGGTCTGCGTACGGTGCCCTGGGAGGGGAGGGGAGAAGGTGCCCAGGGCCGCACGTGCGCGGGGACTTACCCAGCAGCAGGAGAGCAAACAGCAGCTCCATGGGCACGGGGGGTCCGGCCTGGGGAGAGCGAGGCGAGAGGGTTACGCCGGGCCAGGCTGGGCGAGGGGAGGTCAGATCTGCGGGGAGCCGTGGGGTCAGGATGCAAAGGGTGGAGGGGAAGGAGACTGCGGGTGATGGGAAGGGGGGTGGGATACTGGCCCAGGCCTCCTTCCTGTCAGCCCTGCAGGTGGGAAGTGCCAGGGCTCCCTGGTCCCGCTAATGCCTGACGCCGGGGCTGGGTCGTGGTCGGCAGAGCCAGGGCGCCCGTGGGGCTGGCTGCCCCAGAGGTCAGGCGCTGCTCATTCACCCCCAGGACAGCATCTGTGCCCCCCCCCAGTCCCTCACCTTGCCAGGCGGGGGAGCGAGGGGATCGGGGGCAGGCAGGAGCTGCCCGTGGCTGGGGGGTCCCACGTCTCAGAACAGGCGCATGTGGCCCAGGGCAATGCTGTCTGCGAGCGCCCCGGGCTAGCGCCAGCCCTAGTGAGGGCAAAGTGCCCCATGGGCTGTGCCACCCCCACCAGTGGCATGTGGGGAACTACCAACCTGGGGCTGGGCACGCAGAGCAGACAGCACAGCTCGGGGCAGCGGCTAAAAGTTGGAGCAGGAGACAGGGATCCTGGACACCTGGGTTCTCTTCCTGGCACTGCCCCGACTGGCCGTGGGGTGCTGGGCAAGCCTGTTCCCCTCAGCCTGCTCCCTCACTGCCCCTGGGCACCCCCCTGCCAGCTCACCCGCGCTGGGCACCGGGCTCGGGGCTGGAGGAGAAATCCAGGCAGCCTGAGCAGTAATGTCGCTGCCCGGGCCGGGCACCGTAGGGCAGCAGGCTCCGCGTGCAGCCTCCTCCCGCTCGCCCCGGTACTCACGTCCGAGCGGTGCAGCCCGCGGCCCTGGCAGCCCGCGCTGGGGGAGGGGGGAGCTGGCTGCAGGCTGGGCGGGGGCAGCCCCCCAGAGCCCCTCCTGCTCCTGCGAGTCCCCGAGCCCTGGGCGGGCAGCGTGAGAACTCGGAGCACAAAAACAAGCTGGCAAACAAGGGAAGCGATGGGTAAAACTCACCCGGCTCCTCTCCCAGGCGCACAGAGTGATTCTTATTCAAATCGGGGCTGGGGCTGTGAAAGGGGCGAACGGTCTCCAGGCTACGGGAATGTCACAGCCGATTCTTTCTGCTCGGCAGTGCACACAGGCCAGCCGGGGTGGGGACGACCGGCCTCTGGGCCCTGAGCCGCCCGGGGCCCCAGGCCAGACTCGCAGCTCACCAGGGGCTAGTTACGGTCAAACCGGTCACGAGCCGAGGGAGCTGCTCCGGTCTCGCCACCTCCTGAGCACACGGCGCGCTTGGGCAGAGACCGGGCTCCCCCGCCCACGCTGGGGGGGGAGAGGGCCCACTCCTTGTCCCCCCGCTGGCCTCCAGCCACAAAGCGTGGGAAGCCGTGCCAAGGGCCGGGGGCTAGGGAGAAAGGAGCAGGCCTGGCGCCCACGTTCCCAGGGTGCTAGCCCCAGCCCGGCAGGAATGTGCGTGTTGTGTCTTGCACCAGGCTCCCTGGCGAAAGCAGCGCGTCCCACAGCCGCTGTCACCAGGACGGGGAGGGGGGCAGGGTGGGAAACAGCCAATATCCCACTCCCAGGTCACTGGGCCGGCACGGCCCGCTCTGGGGGCCGGCTCCATGCCCGGGGGCATCCAAGCTGGCACTCCAGGAGCCGCACATCCGTAGCCCCTTGGCTTGGTGGGCCACTGAGCCCATGAGACTGGGAGGCAAGTGGCCAGCTGGCCGCCAGATCTCTGCAGAGCGGCTCAGTGCCAGGGGCCGGCCAGGCCCCAGATGAGCCCTGCCCTGGGGGCAAGGGGCAGGGCTTTGCAGGAGGGTGGAGCCTGAGTTTGACTCCCAGGCTGGGCTGTGCTCTGGCCACCCCCCTGCCCTGGAGGGCACCACACAGGGACCCCACCACCCCTCAGGCTCCCTCTGTCCCCTGCCCCGCAGCGTCAGGGAGCTGCTTCATCCCTGGCCCCAGAGCTCCATGGGGTCAGAGATGGGGCCTAGCCCAGCAGCCTGCAGGGCTCCAGCTAGCCAGACCCACCCCTTGACCCAGCATCAGTTCTGCCCCCGCGCAGGAGCAGCAGCGGCCTCCCCCAGTCCCGGCGGCCCGAAGCCTGGGGGGCCAGCCCGGCTCAGGGACCCTCCTCTCGCCCCCACGTGGCTGGTCCCTCCTGCCCCAGGGCACTGGGCAGGGCAGAGAGGCCCAGCCCCCGGCCCCGCACCATGGACACTGGCCCAGGCTGGGCACCGTGTGGCCTGTTTGCCAGGGCACATGCTGAGACTCCAGCCAGGGCCCTGGGCCCGGAGCGCTGCCCCAGGGGCATGTTCACCCCCCAGGGAACAGCAGCCCAGTGTCCCGGGCCCACCCGTGAGCCCCAATGGCTCTGTTCCACCCCCACCTGTGCGCTCCCAGAGCTCCCCCCACACCTGAGCTGGCCAGGGCAGGACACCACATGGCAGGGGACACCCCCACAGGGCCTCTGAGAGCAGCCCCGGCTATCATCTGCCAGCGCACAGGGCCCCACGCCCTTCCAGCGAGCTCTGTGCACCTCCAGGCCTCCCACCCCCTCAGCACTGCCCAGCCTCCAGGCCAAGCGCCACTTCCCCCCACTGCAAAGCTGCCACCTCTGGGCGGCAGTGGGGCAGCTGTGTCCCACAGCACACTATTGTTGGCACTGGCTAACCCGTGGAGACTGCCCCTGGGACATGGCCCGGGCACAGGGGTCACACCCCACTCCCCTGCCCCAGGGAGACGATCAGCCCATCCCGCTCCCCGCAGCTCTGCCCACGCAGCGAGAGTGAGCCAGGGGGGCGCTGGCTGGTGCCGCCCGGCCAGGGAACGGCGCGAAGGCAGCCCGCAGAGCCAGAGCTGCACGGTACCTGCCCGGCTGTCGCCGCTCGGCGTCCCTGGCGAGGGCCACGCCCGTCCGGAAGCCCCTGGCAGCGGCCTGCAGCCAGCCGACTCTCCGCTCAGTCTGCTCAGGGCTGGGCTGTTTGTTCCTGCAAAGGTTCCCTCCCTCAGGCTCCTCCTCCCGCCACCGGTGCCAGGTGGGGCGGGCCCGCAGCTCAGCCAAGGTGAGCGGGAGGCCAGGTACAGCGGCTCTCCCCGCCCTGCACACGGGGGAGAGGAGGGCGTGTGCCCCTGCACCCTGAGCTGCAAGCCCTCAGCTCCCTGCTGGGAGTGAGGTGCAGCATGCGAGGGCATGGCGCCTGGTGCCTACAGAGCGCCGCCCGGGCCTGGCACTGCAGCCATGGGGAGGGCCGGGACCTCAGGCTGTGGCTGCAGCTGGCGGGGAAGCACACGTTGCAGGCAGGCCCTGGGGCTTGGGGCCATGCCATGTGCCAGGGAGTGCCCGGCTCTGCCCCTGCAAGGCACCCAGGCCTGTCCCTACGTACGAGACGGAGCACGTCTCCTGCCCAACCACATGCTTGGAGCCGCGCGTCGGCCACCCTGACACGCGACCGTTGGCGCCAGTCAGTGCCTAGCTGCCTGGCTCCGGGCCAGAGCCGCTGGGTGCTTGGTGTGAGACGGCCCCTGGGAGTCACGCAGCGCCGGGGGGCGGGCACTGTTGCCCAAGGGTTGGGCCCGGCACTCCCTGCTTTGGCTCCCTGCAGGCGGCCCCGGCCCCTGCCCGCTCGCTGGCACCATTAACGCTTTTGATCCTGCAGCGAGCCCCTCCCTCGGTGTCGGGGTCAGCACCCGCTGGGCACGGGCAGGGTGTTCCCCAGCGCGCTGGAGCACGGCCTGGCTCTCCGGGGGGCGCTGCGGGGGGATCGCAGGTGATCCCTTCCCAACGGGCAGAGTGCCCCGTGCCCAGCTCCGAGCTGCCAGCCACATGCAGATGCCCGGAGACTGGTAGGGAGCCACAGCTCCCTGTGGAGAACAGCAGCAAGTCGAGGCCACCACCCGGGCCCAGCCGGCGAGTGGGGGGGGCCTGGTGCCCCAGCCATGGGGGTGTCCCTGACGGAGTCGGGCCCAGCCGGCGAGTGGGGGGGGCCTAGTGCCCCAGCCATGGGGGTGTCCCTGACGGAGTCGGGCCCAGCCGGCGAGTGGGGGGGGCCTAGTGCCCCAGCCATGGGGGTGT